TTTTTTGTCAGGTCTTTGCATAGTTTCTATTCTCCCTCCCTATTCCCTTCCTACCTCACTCGCGCGATCGAAGTTGTAGAGATCACACATACCTGCTGGATGCTGTTTGGACAGCATTTCATATGTTGTACATATTTTTGCTATAAGCATTTTATCTATAAGCATACATATATCACACCTTTTCTCGAGTTTTTAGGGTAGTAAATGGCCACTGATCATATGTGGACGACTTGCCATCAAGCGGTTACTGTCAAAGAGTGCCGAGTTGAAACTTTTGATCGGGCCCTCATTCATGAACTCCTCATTCTAGCAGCCAGTAATTATACAATATAGTGTGCATTGAATTAATTTTAGTTGCACATTTAATTTAGATCCGTATTATGAAGAAGCGAACCCCTCCCACTCCATTTGTAAGGCGGCCTACGGGCCTGATGTCCATACATGATATCTTAATTAGACACTTATCGAYTTAATTGAATAAGAGATAGCTGATAGACTGGATTTAATCAGGTCGAAAAACATGCAAAMTCAAAAAWATTACTAAATAAAACAGAAGTTTTGGTCCTCTCTTCACAGGCCTTCCTTTAAGGGAATGTTGGCACCATCATTTACGACTAGCAAACCCTTGAATTCCCATCTAGGAAGTCCAATACAGATTAAACTTTGAAGACATCCAGCTCAAAACTATGCACAATCAAATTCAGTTCTATCCATGCTTTGTGATAACAGGATAAAGTTGCTAAATCCAACCTTGCATCAACAGCCAATCCTCTACCAAAAYTTCCACCTATACCAACGCCACCACCAACGGCACCTCTATCAACGCCATCTACTGCTACTCCTAATACTACTAAGGCACCTTCTGTGCCTACAAGTAAGGCGATGTCTTGCAGTGAGGACATTCTAGACAGGACAACCTGGACGATTTGATAAGTAACCAATCATATTGCAGCATTTAATTTAAGAGTGGGAACAATGTCTGCTTTTAATGGTCCCTGATTTGCTAGTTATATTTAAGTTTTGCCATTAGAGTGTCTTCACTGAAATTTGTATTTATGCTTTGCAAAAGCTCAGGCGCGAAACGGTTATTTATTTGAGGATAACATCTTCCTTGCACACCTGAAAAAAAAATGTCTAACTTCACTATAATGATTACAACACAGTTATTGTCATTTAACCGATTAAAGAAAAATTTGGCAAGCAAATAGGCATTCAATTTTTTTCTTTTAATATCTATCATCAACAAATAAGAGAATGTTCATTTGTTCACAGCCACCACTACCACAATCCACACCATCACCACCACCATTTTCATCACCATCATCATCGTCAGTACGTAAGTTTTGCCGTACCAATATCAATACTTGACAAGCTCTCTATGATCGCAGAACGTATTTACTACGTCAATATCACCTTGATGAGGTATCCATGGAAAACCGATTACGATAAAGAAGGAATAAAGGATATTTTYACAAACATTTCTGATAACTTGCCAAAGAAGGTAAGTTGAAAATAGCTGTTTGCATCATATCATGCTTAATMAGGAGTGCAAATAATGTACAAGCAACAATAGAAGGTTATTAACCGAGCGCGATGTCTGTATGGGAAAATTTCAGACCGAGGTCTTGGAAGCCGTATATACGGACCGAGCTCAGCGAGGTTAATAAATATTATATTATACGGCTTTTATGTTGCAGATTATGTAGAAAAATTACGTAGAATATATAGAATATATATAGACAGGGACTTTGGCTCCTAGTTTCAAAGATCCAGTTTATTTCCATGCACAATTACAGGGGCGGATCTAGCATTTTTACAGACTAGTTTCCAACTAAAAAAATGTTGTATTGACATATGCT